TTAAATTAATGTGCTTTAAAATGGGGACAAAGTTCCCTAGCTATCAGAAGGGTAACATTATTAAGTTTGTTGTTTCAATAAAAAATACATAATATAGGAAGCATCAAGCATGCTAATTTATATAGGAAATATAAGAAGAAAAGAAGTAAACATGCTAGTCCATGCTTGATAGTTTTTAACTAAAATTGAAACTTAGAAGAAGATAAGAAATAAACAAAAAAAAATTCTATACAAACATGTATATGAGAAATAGGATTAAATGAAGTTTCAAAAAAACAATGACTTAGATATATAATGGATTTTCTTTTCCTAAAAAAAACACTAGATACAATTTTACCACATTGAGTGTGGTAAAAAAAGTTTGTCCCTTCAAAAAATATAAAGGGGTATATTCTTGTTCACATAATATGTAGGATTCATAGAAGGGTAAAATGGGCTTTTAAAGAATTTTTCCAATGTCATATGAACACTTTGACTCAGTTTGGGAAGAGTGCACATACAAATATGTATAGTGAAAATATAAGGTTCAGAAGATGTTGCAAAGTAGGCCCCAAATGGAAGGTTAGTAAGTTGTGTTTGGTGAAAACCCTGGAAAGCCAAAATGTGCTATTATTGAGCTAAGAATTCAACATTCTAGTAAAGCTAGTTTTGATAGCTTCTCCAAAACCACTCAATCAATGCAGAAGCCCTCCCAAATGAGCTCAAAATGTTAAGACTTCTCTCTAACTCCCTAACACCCCCCTCCACTTAACTCCCAAAATTAAAAAAATGTTTACTTTTTTTTTTCTCTAGAAGAAGTCATAAAATAGACCCAAACCCTCCCACCCTATTTCTCTTCAAACCCTACCTCGCCAACTCCCTTTTCCATTTTCTTGGTTTTTCCAATAAGTTGTACCAGGGGAAAGCAACAAGCAAGCTCTTTCACAAAACCTATAACTGAAAGATGTTGCAATTCTCTCACCTTTCATATCATTTATGCATTTTTAACTTTCTGCAACAATATTCTATTAAGTAATCAACTTAATATAACCTTTTTCATTACCATAAACCAAAAAAAATGCTATATAACTTAGGTCCCTCAAAAGAAAAGTCCTTGGCCCTACCACTGTATACAAGTTTTGCACTATACATTTTGGTATTTGTACTCTTAGCACATGTTAATAAAATTAATGGCAAGTTAATGAGAGAATGGATTAGCTGAACTTGATAACTGTTTCATTAGGCTGTTGGAACAATCATTTTGCTCCATACCAGCCATAAAGTGCATATGGCTAAATCGAATCAAATCAGGTTATATTCGAATTCAAAACTGATTATGTATACTAATATTCAAATTCAATTTGATATCCGATGGATATTAAAAATCCATGTTCGAATTCGATTTCGATTATCAAATCGAATATTCTATTTAATTCGAATCCGGCAGTGAGCCAAGTGCGAAATCTCTCACTTGCATTTATAGCTAGTGTGTGGAGAAAAACGATTGGTCCCGCAGCCCGTAAAACAGCTATTTAGTTCAACTAATCTTTCATCAGTAATAGAAGGGTGGAGTAAGCAACTCAACTCCAAACTATAAGGAGTGTAAGTTGATAGCTCAAGGGGTGGGGGTTCTAGTTTCTTGGTTTATTTAACATATTATACGCTTCTACAAAGATTTAAGATATGCATATCTACCAAACAAGAAGGAAAAAAATATATGCATGTCTCTTACCTGAATATGAATTTGACCATGAAAATAGTTAAGGTTCAGTAAACCATATTAATTGTCAAGACTAGTATATACTTTTTAAATCCGAGACAGAATTGATGACCAAAATTTTTAGTTTTTTACTCTTTGAATATCAACATAATTGAGAAGTGAAGACACAATCGTCAAGGTTTAATTAGTCTACAATGCATAATAAATTTTTATTTTTAAGATATATGCACATAGTCAAGACTGTATATGTTGTTTATCAATTAAAAAGAAGGAAGAAGTCAGACTATATATTTGTTTGATTTGAAAAAAAGAGAAAACATGAGTTTTTTCTTTATTTTGTTTGGTTTGAAATAGAAGGGAATACTCTAGCAGAAGTGTGGTAGAAAGGCACATCAATATGAGGCTCAAAGACAATCTTTTTCAACCCAAACAAGGGATATCTGTTTTGGCAATTTCCACAAGTGTATTCATCATCCATCCACATGAAAAAACCTTGTCAAGGAACCCATATTGACTGTCCAACCTTGGTTTTGAAATTTGAATGTCATTCAATTTCGTTTTCAGATAACACATGAATGACAATGAAAATTAACACAAGGATTTATTTCGAAACAAAAAGGGTTTAGGCCGTTTATTTTGTGCATAGAGGATGGTTCAAAACCATAAAATTTTCCAAAATTAAAACCTTTTAATTAATGTAAGTTAAAAAAAAAAGCTTGGGGGAGGGGGGCTCATCAATATGAGTGGTTTTGGTTTTCAAAACAAAAACAACTGCTATGCTAGAAAAATGACTTTTTATTTCTTTGTATCTGGTAGATGTAAGGGTGCAAGTCGGGCAGGTTGAGTCAAGTTTATGGTCAATCTGGGTCTGACCTTAAAATTGAAGCTTAAGGCCCAAACCCAGGCCGAACTTGATGTTAAACCTGATATTCCTAACCCAAGCCCAGCCGGTACTGTAATTTGATGCACTTGGATTTGACTTAGGTCCAGGCCAGGCTTGGGGGTTGATCAATAAACCCACTCTAAAATCATAAATACTTATATATATATATATATATATTTGAACAATTAGCCATATTAATTACTTCAACTATATATATAGCCCACAGTTGAAGTCATGTTTAATTATATCATCTACTTAAAAAGTTAAAGTAAAAATCATGTAAAGGCATGGTACCAAACTGATAATCAAACCAATCAATGGAATCGAAAGGTTATGTAACTGATAATGATGATAATGAAGTCAATCAATTCATTTGAATTCACATAATTGTTAAAGTGTTTTAGGTACGGTGTTTTATCATAGAAATTAATCAAAGATGACAAAACAGACAAATCCAAAACCGTCTAGTTTTTGAGATATTCTTCTGAGGGAGGTTTGACCTATTTTTTTAACCTTTTTATTGGGGAAAAAAGGGAAGATCTCTCTAGAAGACCAGAATACAAATTAAAAACAAACGTGTTTGTCTAAAAGCTTCAAGGATGGGCCGGGCCCACCAAACTGAAAAAACAGCCAAGCATTGACAACAGATTCACAGTCATTGTTTTTGAAAAAAGATAAGCGGTTTCAGGGTCTAAGGTGTTATAGCCATTTTTTAATCACTCAATCAAAGAATGCATTAATCACAGAGTGTGCGATCTCTATAATAGTCTCCAGTCCCCAGTACAAACCCAAGAGTTTTATCATACTTTATTTGAACAACTTGGCAATAAGTTATTTCTGTTTTGAGATGGAAACTGATGATTATGTTAATCCATTGAGAATCAATTAAGGCCCTGTTTGGTTCGTGGGAATAGGGGTCTGGAATTAGAATTGGAATGGGCTATTCGGATTCTAACTGTTTGATTGGGCGGAATTAGAATCCCATTCTCATTCCTGCTGGAATGGCAATGGCATTCCTCCATTGGATGGAATGGCCATTCCCTGCTCCTCTTTTGGGAATGAAATCAAATTCCTGCTGATTCTAATTCCCATTCCTATTCTTGTCTGAACCAAACAGACTATGGGAATAGACCATTCCAATTCTGATTCCAAAGGATTTCGATTCCGATTCCGACTGAGAAGCTAATGGACCCTAAATATAGTACCACAGAAATGCTGTTCGGTTTAGGCTTTGTGATCATAATCTCCATACCAAACCCATCAGATCAATAATCAAGTGTAGCCCCTAAAGGAAACCAATTCAATGAATGCAAGATCAGATAGCCATAAACATCCAGTCACTTAAGTCTGGTTCCATCAAATGGATTGTAGTCGTTGGTTCCTCCTGTTAGCCAAAGACAAACAGTCAAAACATGTCTTGGCCAAGATGAAGGTTAAGACTTAAGAGGATAAAATTTATTCTATACTATCTTCATTATGAGATTGCTTCCACAAAAGCCATTCAAGAATCAAGATATATTGTAATAAAAGATACAAATAACTCGGTCGAATTTATTTCAGCAAATGAGTACAATTAAGAGGCACAATATTACATGGCCAAATATGGACAAGAAGAAATGAAAGGCTGTACAAGAGCAAATGGTGACCTACACAAGACAATTACAGTTGAGATTATTAAAATTTTGATGACTAAATAAGGAAAGTTAACAGAAAAATGAAACATAACAACAAGATAACTTATGAGAACATTTCATGTACAAAACTAGCATATGAGAGAAAACAGTAAGACTCAAGCTTTCCTTGCTTTTCCACTTTTGGTCAGATTCTTTTGGTAAGGTCGAGATAAGAAGCAAAATGAAAACCAGGTCCCTTTCTTCTTCTTCAGTGGTTGAGGTTTCACATCTTTTTCTGTAACAAGATCAACCATATACTGAACCACCGCCTGAGGAATGGAGATGAAAATGTTAGTAACTTCCACATTAACAACTAATTTTACTTTCTTAAGTTCTTTCTTGTAAGTTCAGATTGAGCTAATGCCCTCAACAATGGAAGACAAAGACAGTACTCTCCAACTAAGCCATTAACTCAATCCAGAAAGCTAAATGTTTTTAATAAACATTACCTGAGCACCCAGTTTAGTTACTTTTCTTGGTGGCACTTCTAATGGAGTCTCATCAGCATAGAAAACTTTCAACTTCGACAGGAACCTGAAAGATTCTGGTAAAATCCGTATTTGGTTGTTACTTATGTCCAACTCCTCAAGCATCTCAAGATTGCCAATTGACCTTGGCAGGGCTGTCAAGTCTGCAAAATTCCTTCCAACATTCAATTTCACAAGATTGGTTGCAAAGCACAAGTTCTCTGGTATTGACTCAAGTTCATTGAAGCTGACATCAAGTTCCTTCAGCTCAGAAAGATTGCCCATTGTTGTAGGCAACCCTTTGATTCTATTATAGTGCAATGTAAGTATCTCTAAATTCTCAAGCTTTCCAATTGCCTCAGGAAGTGCTTTTAGCCGATTGAAGTCTAATCTCAGCTCCACAAGCGAAGAACACGACCCAATCGTATAAGGAAGTTCCTCGAGCTCGTTTGTTTCCACATTCAACCTTTTTAAGCCAGTTAGATTTCCAACTGCATCTGGTAGTATGGTAAACTGGTTTGAACTCAAATCAAGATTGATCAAATTCGTCAGGTTCCCAAAAGAAGCAGGCAGAGATTTTAACCTGTTTCCCTGCAAGTCCAGATCAGTCAGATTGATTAGATCTCCAAATGAATCAGGAAGACTTATCAGTTGGTTTGCATGGACATCAAGCTTCATCAAGGCTTTGAGGCTGCCAATGGTGGATGGAAGAGCCATGATTCGATTCTCAGATAAATTTAACTCAGTCACATCATTTAATTTCCCAATTGATGCTGGAAGCCACTCAATCTGATCCATCAACTTCCCTTGTAGGTCAAGAACACCAGCTCCACTTTTAGAGGAGGTCTCGATTAGGCCAGCAACCTTCATTAAGCTTAATTTCTCTGTACCTCCTTCACCTGCAGATGTATCCAAAACGTTTAGATCATAGAAGGAATTTGAACAATCCAAAACCACATGGGAATTAGCTAATTCAATCAGTCAGAACTAATTCATCAAGGAGATATTGAGCAGCATATATATTTATATAGATTAACAGTGAAAATATCTGCAAACTTAACTAACTTCTCCACAAATTGAAGTAAAAAAAAGAAGAAAAAATGGATTTGATGTTTAATAGAGACTAAACAGGTATGCAGCTAAAATTGGGATTTTTTTCCTCTTGGATTTATTTAACAGACTAAACAGCTAGATGTAAATCAATCCCCATATGAGAAGAAAAGGAAAAGGGTTTTCTTCTTTGGTAGAATCAAATGTATTTTTCTTTCGGTTTCTTAAAGATCATATGTATCAATTAAATAACATAGCTTTCAATGCATAAGTGAGGTGAAAAAAGGAAGAACCAGAGTCTTTAAGAATGGAAAAGAGAACATGATATAACAAGGAGAAAAATCCTATCTGACCTGAAGAGAGCCCGGCCTTTGAGGAATAGCTACGGAATAAACCCTTTGCGACATCTGATTTTGTTTTTGACTCTGCCCCTTCATCCTTCTTTATCTTGATGACACTCTCATCACTAATGGCAACAACATTCTTTCCTTCAATTTTCGAAACTAAGAAAGTCAAATCAGCCTTCTTTTGGTTCTGGGTATCTCCAGAAACCAACTCAGAAGCTCTCTGGATAAGCTGATCAAAGGTCTGAAACTTCTTCTCAAGATCAGTAAGGTAAATAGCTTCTCTCTTTTGTTCATGGCTCTGCAACAAGACCATGGTCCTCTTTGATTCCTGCAACACAGCGAACAGCTCCTCTGGGACATCTGGGGGCTTATCCTCTTGAGATATTTCATCAAGCCTCATCTGCTCTTCACTATTTACAGTTCTGAGAACAGACATCGCTGCTTCAACCTCATCCAATGTGGGTCTGGGTGGTAGTGACCGGAAGATTCTCATAATCTCATCGACGGTCTCTACGACGGCAGGCGATGGATTCTGTTTGGGTATCACAGCCATGTGTTTGATTCTGTCCAGAGAAAACAGACGTGAACGAGAAGAATTGGGCTTTGAGGTGATGCCGGTGCCAGTGAAGGTGGCGGAGGCGAGGATAGAGGATTAGAGGTGATGGTGGGTGGTAGAGCTGTGAAAGTTGCGTTTAATTTATGAAGAGTTGAAGATACAGAGATAGAGAGAATGTTGTTTTTATTGACAAAACCCGAACCACTTTCCAAGAAAAAGGAATTATAAAGAAATCATGGATATCAGGACATGGAAGCTTCTTCGCTGTAGAAATATCAAATATCTTTAAATATCTGTCTGCAGACCTCAATGATGCTCGCCCCTGCCGGCCTGGGCCGACCTGATCGGACAGAATGTCTTCAGTTCGGAAGTTCAGAAAAAAACAACAAAAATGGAACGAGGATTGGTCAGTGTGATTTTTACTTTCCACGTGTCAATGTTAATATTCGATGATTCCACTAGGTACTTGGGATCTAGGATCTATAAGGTAGAAAGATCAGGTCCCCACCCCAAATATCCTTATCCTAGACTCCCCAATTTCGGCAGAATTCCCCATTGCTGTTAGTTCTTGCCACGTGTTGCGTAAGGTGGTGATGGGTTCAATTCTTTTGAAACAAAAAAAAAAGAAAAATTATTTTCGCTTACCATCACATAATACTATGGTTAGAGTTATATTTGAGACGCATCGTATAACTGTCATGTCAAGCTTATCAAATTGTTTGGGAGAGCTAGAAAGCGAGAGAGATAGAGTTGTTAATAGCTAAAGGGTGTGTATCTTTTCAAAGGAATGGGGCATCTTCTTGTGAGCTCCACAAAACGTGTCTGAGATCTTTGGCCCGTCTGGTTCGAATGTGATTTTACGTTCAGATATGAGCTTCATGTAAGCGGATAGTGTTTATCTAGTTGCGCCCGAAATGTGTGGGGTAGTAGTTAGCTCTGTTGATGTAGTGCCGTGATCCCGAGGAAGTCGGAGGCAACAACTCGCTCGCGGAGGAGATCGCTTTCCACGTCGCATAGGTCGTCGACCAGACCTCTGCTAGGTCAATGGAGGCAGGTCGCCTCTTACGCCGAATTGACACATTCCAAGGTGTCCACGGGGTGTCCTGCCGAGGTGGGGTCGAGAAAGCCGAGATGGGTGTGAGGTGTCCGAATTGAAGTGCTCTTGAAGTTGATGTCCATCTGGTGCCATGTGTTGTGATGTTCATATAGGGCCAAATCACCCCTCATCAATTGCCTCCACTCCTAAGTCGATATCGATTCGGTGAAAGGAGCAGCTCGTTGTTAATCCTTGGCCCGAGATGACTCGTCTGATGGGTGCGCAGGCGAAAGGTGTAGCTGCTGATAAGGGGATTTCTATTCTTGTCTTTTGAGAGTTTTTGTACTTCAAGCCTATGTGCTCTAAATGTTTCCTCTTTATTTATTTATTTATTTTCTCCAGTAGCGATGTACTTTTTTCGATCAATGAAGTCTCCTTTTTTTGCATACATTGTGCCCCCCTTGCACCTTTTATTTTCTGTTTTAGAAAATAGGCTAAGGTGTTGTTTGATAAATCAGAAATCTAAAAGTTAAAAAGATATTATTTGGGTTTGAAATATGAAAAGAAACATAGTTGCTTTTCTATTTTTTAGAGGCTCTGAATTAATAAGTTTGTTTGTATTGGATCAACCCTTTAGCATTTAAAATTCATTGCTTTTACTATTTTACCCCTAGAACGTATAATTTGGAAATTTTGAGTTCAATTCACATTATATCATAAAAAATAATTTTCAACTTCAAAATAATATTGAAACAATAAGAATAAAAAAATAAAAATTAAAAGTTACTAATTAATAAATAACACGATTAAAATTAAAAAATATTAAAATAATTTATACTTAATAAAATTAAACTAATTAATAACTTACAATTAATAATTTACATAAATAAAAATTAAAATAATTTTTATAAATTAAAGAAATAATTAAAAGATACTAATTTATTAAACTAATTATCCAACTAGAGTTTCTTTTCTTTATTTTTATCCTTGAAAACTTTGATACTAATTCCTTACTGAACTATTTATTGAAAAATGTTTTGCTTTTGTTATAAAACAAAAGTACATTTTAATCACCAGCCTAGTTATCCAATACAAATGAGATTTTCTATAACAATCCCAACTATTCCTTGTAATAGAGTATGATAAAGAGAAACGACAATGGTGAATCCTAAGTATTCCAATACGGTAGTGGAGATTTGCTAGAACAGTCCCAACTATTCCAATACATATTTGGGTTTGCTATAACAGTTCCAAGTGTATATGAATTCTAAACCCTAACCAGAATAGAGTTTCACGGAGAAGATAAAATACAAGGAAACATGACACACTACAAGCAATAAACAACGGCAATGGAGAAGAAAAACAAGAATGCTGGATGAAACAAAGCAAGAAACAATGATAATAAAGGATGAAGTAGACATACCTACGAGATACTGGATAAAATCGAAGATGCTATCAATAGCAAATGGAAATTGCAAGAGATTGGATACTGAGAAACTGGAGAAAAAAAATCAATAGAAAATGGAAACCCTATGCTCGTGGAAGAAAACATGAAGAAATCAAATCCATATGCAAATTGAAACCATACCTGTAAGAGAATTTGATGGCGGTGGAGCTTCATTCTCATCCCAGTGAAGATGTCGAATGACCTATATTTTCGATTTTATATGAAGGACAAAACAAATCATTCTAAAAATTTTGCGAGGACATTTATGTCTTTCACACAGGTCTGAAAATGTGTTTGATCGCGTTAAGGACCTGTTCTACCTCTTATCAATTAAGATCTAAATTTGGGTTACAAATCTATTAATTAGAGGGCAACCCAAACAAAGGTGGCATTTAAAAAGCAACATGTTTAGACTTCAAAGGTCTGAAAAGTGTTATCAAATGCCACTTAAAGTATAAAATGTGAGCCGAGGTGATGAGGTGCACTAACGCCGAGGTGTCAAAAGAGAATTGGCCTGTTAAGATTCTAGCCAAGTCAGAATGTTGCTGAACTTTTGGCCTTTTATTGCCGATGCCTCCCGAGGTCATCTTAGGGTGCCTTAGAGCTGAAGGCGGTTTGGCATCCTTGATGATGCACAATCTAGACGCTCCCCCGTGTGCTATGACTCGGACTTCAATTGGCAGCAATCTGGCTGGGTTGAGCTGTGTGGACGAGCTGCGAGCTGGGTATCCGAGTTGAAGTGAACTGTAAAAAGAGAAGAAGGTGAGAGTGTCCAAGTAGCTTTTACCTAGGAAGGGCACTCTGATGCTTAAGTTAGTGAGTGTGTAGGAGTAATCTCTGAGAATGTTAGGGAGCTTGAGAGTATAGTGTGCATACCTTTCAGAGTGATTCTGGGGTCTTTTTATAGCTATATGAGGTTCAGGTGCCATCAGGCGACATCTCTGAGTTTTTTGCGGAGCTGTTTCTACAGTTTGGGGCATGTTGGACTGTCAGTTGCTAGATTTGCGCAATGGTTACAGGGCTTGCGGGTCTTGTGGCGGTCAACTCGGTAAGCTGGTTTCACGGTTATAGTTACGGCACTTACGTGAGTGTTGTTCGCGGGACTATTTCGGGCGAGCTGGTGGGCCGAGCTCGCTCAAGCTCATCCGCGTACCTAATGCTGACTTCCAGGTGTCACTTTGGCGAGCTGCTCTACTATGTTGGACGCTGTGGGCCGAGCTTGCTCTAGCTCGGTCGCGTACTTGATGCTGACTGCCATGTGTCACTTCGGCGAGCTGCTCTGCTATGCTTGACGCTGTAGGCCGAGCTCGCTTTAGCTCGGTCACGTATCTGATACTGATTGCCACATGTCACTTTGGCGAGCTACTCTGCTATGTTGGGCGTTGTGGGCCGAGCTCGCTCTAGCTTGGTCGCGTACCTGATGCTGATTGCCATGTGTCACTTTGGCAAGCTGCTTCGCTATGCTGGATGTTGCACTATCACCAGCGTCCACGTGTCGATAATTGTGTGGGGCGACCAAAATTCCCCTCATCAATTGTCCCCACTCTCGAGTCACTGCTTAGTAGACGAAGAGAGTAGAAGCTCTTTAGGGCATTTTGGGTCAGCTTGCTTCGACTGTTGATTCATCTTGATCTTCTCTCATAGCCGGTTTAACTTGTTCGGTTCGGCCTGGTTGAGATGCTCCGAGCTAATTTTACTGAGCTAGTTCGTTGACTTGGCGTTGAGGTGTCATCCGGAAGCTACATGTCGTTGTACGATTCGGAGGACCAAATTACCCCTCATCAATTGCCCCCCACTCTCGAGCCAGCGTTAGCTCGACGAAGAGAGTAACTCTCAGAAAGTGTAATTGGTCTAGTTGTTTCATAGGTCGCTTGCTTTATTAGTTCGGCGCAGGCATTGTAGATATGATAGTGTATGATCTTCTATAGAGCTGCTCACCTACTATCACGTAGCAAGCTGCTTTCCGTTCTATGAACTAAGCTGCATTTCCAACTCGACTCTATGAAATATCTTCTGCAGAGCTACTCACCTACTATCACGTAGCGAGCTATTTGTCGTAATATCTTCTATAGAGTTTCTCACCTATAGTATCTTCTGTACAGTTGATTGCCTACATTTCATGTAGCGACCTGTTTTTCATTCTATGAGCTAAGCTACGTTTCGTTCTTTTTGTCGAGTCAATCATACTCGTAAGTCTAGAAAGGGCATCAACCTCTGTGTTTTATCTTAGAATTTGATGGAGGTACCAAGAGTCAAAACTGGGGAGGAGTTCTCTAACTTTGGCGAGGTATGCTGCCATGAAGGGTTCCCGAGCCTCGTAATCCCCATTTACCTGATTTGTGACGATCTGCGTATTACTACATATCACTATGTGTCTAGCTCCCACTTCTTTTGCTAACGTCAATCTTGCTAGTAGGGCCTCATATTCAGCCTCATTACTTGATGCTCAAAACTGAAACCGGAGCACATACTCCAGCTTTGTCTCGCAAGGTCCGTATAGCATTAACCCAAATCCGCTTCCACCCAGGTTGGATTTGCTGCCTATGTGAAGTATCCAGGGCTCCTTGTCCTAATTCGCTATCTCGTGAGAAGAAGGTGCCACGCTGGATGAGGCTTCCGCTTCCAGCTCTATCTATTTGGACAATGACGAGCTGAAGGTACACTTGGCAAGGAAATCTGCCAGAACTTGCACTTTAATAGCTATGTGCAGTTCGAACCGGATATCATATTCACTGAGCTCGATTTCCCATTTGGTGAGTCTTCCCAAGACCTCGGGCTTTAGGAGGACTTGTTTCAGAGGTCAATCGGTTAATACCACAATGTCGTGGGCTTGA